CTGTTTCATTATTATACCATAAAGTTCCAAGTATATTGATATACTTGGAATATATAAATATTCTTAAGTTTATATCAGTATATTCATATACTGATATAAATTTAAGTCAACAAACTTTGAACTAATTTAGAGTAATAATAATCAATAAATAAACCCTTCTTTCATGTTAGCATATATGAACAACCTTAAAAAGCAGTTAACACATTTTTATTTAAAATGCTGCTCTTAGTTGTAAGCAATTCAAAATATGTGATTTCTTAAAATTGCCAAAACAACAAACTTGTGTTTATCGTAGGTTTAGTCAAGATCTCAATCGATTCTGTAGGCAAACATGTACAGGTCCTTCTTCATCAGAAGCAAAGAAATCTGCAAGACTGGAAAGCAGTCACCAGTCGTATTTATAACTGTACGGAAGTAAAGCGAATGAGAAGATAGCACCATCTATTGGCAAAAATAGTAACAAAAGTGAAAATTAAAAAGTGTTAGGAAGGACTGGATTAGACTTCAAATCATTAAGTAAACAATTTTTTTTTTTTTTTTAATGTCAAAAGCTTTAAGAAAATCCAAAGAAGAAGAAGAAGAAGTTTTATGAATGATTTTTGCATCCCCAGAGTCAAAATTATGGTTAAATTTCCAAGTATGATTAGCTATTGAAGACTTGTTAATTTCGCCTTTTTGGACATTAGATTTGTATTCCTTGATACTACACTTTCTTTTAATTTGGCCAATATATATCTTGTACCACACTGATGCAGCTTGCTCTAAATTCCCCAAGAATTCAGAAAAGAAAGTGAGAAATGGAATCTTTAAGAATCAAACAATGGGTTTTATTGATAGGTGAGAAAGTGACTTGAAAGTTGAACTTATGGAGAATCTGTGCAATTTTATAACTGATAGAAGGATGAAATGGAAGCACAAGAAGCACAATAAACATTAATGCTATTTCCGGAAGATTCCGCTATTCACTAGCGAGATGTCTTCTTTGATGGTAAGTTGAAATTTTTTTACAGGCTTTTTCAATGACCATGGGACAAAATACTACTGTTTTGTCCGCTGATTTCCAGTCTTAGCAGTTTTGTATAAAAATCATAACTTTGACCAGTTTCTATAGTAACTAAATTATCATATTATTCAAATCATATTATTGTTGTTTGTTAAAGTGATTTTGGGAGTAATAGAATGCTGATTTTTTAATATTTTTATACTTTCAATATTAATTTTATAATGTGGTTGCTATAAACTTGTTATCAAGGGTGTTATGATATTAAATTCATCATGATAAATTAAAAAATTTGTGCCTTTTTTTGTTTTGTTTTGTTTTTAAGAATTGCAACAAGGCATTGCATTCAAATGTTGTAAATTTACTATGTATATTATTAAATTTTTGGATACTAGTAATAAATTTATTTGAAATAACACTATAAAAATGCATTTCTCATTGAAATTGTATTTAAGTCATTGTTTAGTCACAGTATATTTTTATGCGGGAATTAGCATTTAATAGTTAATGAAATGCATTTTTCAAGCCATTCAACAGAAGAGAAGTTTATTTTTAGCCCAAAAGGGTGTTAGCTGAAATGGGCTATTAGTCACAAAACAGGATCTGTGTCATCTGCCATAAAGGAATGTATCACTTTTCAAAAATTTTACACCAAATATTATCACCCTGTATTATCTTTAAGGAAATTTAATAATGGAGAATCTGCATGTATGTTCCTCGCATTGGAGAAAAACAACGGTACCTAGAGCTATCAAATTTTGAATAATGTAGTCCTCTGCCTAAATTTTGAATTTTATATTTCATATTTTGTTAAAACATTTTTTATTAGCAAACTCAATGATTTGAAAGTGAGCAGTGGCAACACTGTACAAAATAAAATGTTTTTATCTTCAGTGTGCAAAATTGTCCATCAAAAATTCTAAAGATATGCTATTTTTAAATATTTTGTGTTTTTACCAGGGCTGCGGAATCGGTAGGGAAAATGATTGATTCCTGGAATTTTAAAGAGACTGACTCCGATGCCCTCATATATATGTAAACATATGCACATGGGTTACAGCTTATTTTTTAATATAAAAGAAGTAACAGATGCTACAGGAAAAAACTGATGGCATAGAAAATTGTTTATAATTATTAGCATTTATTATGAAATTGAAAAATTGGCATTAGTAATTTCTAAGAAACAGGTTTTTATAAGTTCTAACATTGGTGTCTTGCAGGAGCAATCATATTTCTCTATTTTTCCTAAGGCCGTGCAGAAATCTTGTTTGTATTTTTATATCTAAAGGCTCTTGGACTTTTATTTTCATTCACTTTGCCTTAGCCTTTTCAATATTATTCAAATATTTTTCAAAATCTAATTCATCACTGGAAGAAAATGATAGAGCCTCAGTTGCAGTGTCTGCAGTTTGACTGTCCTGATTTGAATATTACGATTGTTCTAAGAATAATTTCATTCTTAATGAAAGATTATAGATGGCTTTCTTTGTCTTGTTAATTTGATCGTCATCCAACAAAATTCAGTGTTTTGGATCTATAGATATTAAACCCAGCAAGCTGCTTTCTTGACTTTTGGGCCCTGGAGTGCATCAGCATATGCCCTGAACAAGTGGTCAGCTTGTCGCAGGACCCTCCAGTGTTTTGTCCCCGAGCGAATTTGGTATTCATTTTATCAACCCATTCAAGGGATGAAAAGCTGAGTTAACCTTGCCCAGCCCGGGCATCAAACCCAGGACCTGTGGTGTAGTTGCACAATGCGCTAGCCACTTCTCCACTGTGTGGTTTTGAACAAACTATTCCTTCTGCAATAAACCCTCCATTTCAGAAAGAACAAGCATCACATTCTTCCATTCTCGCCTCCTGTTAATCCTTCAGATTGTAGCTTTTTGGTGGCTATATACGCTGTTAGAAAGAAGAGATTTTCCAATTACTACAAGATCATTCCACTGTCTTTCCGTTAGTGAAATATTAGGAGTTATTTACATCTTCTAAAAATTTCTGAATTCAAGTTCTTAATCTCTAATCAACCACATATATCATTCAGATCGTGTAGTTCTCCATTGCAATAATTGACTCCTTTTTCCGCTCGCTTCCTAAAAATGGCATCAATTTTAGGAGTTCTTGCTGCTATTGCTGCTTACCTAAATTTACCAATGAGAGTTGTAAATAAATGAATCAGTTTAATCAATAATGGCAAATATCACATCCATCCTTCTCCCTTATATTTATTTATTAATATATCAATAAAATAGAAAATAACTATTTATCAATGTATATAGTCCGTAAATAAAAATAAATCAGTTTGTCATTATTATTATTATTATTATTATTATTCCATTTCACTTTAATTTCATTTCAAATTCAAACTGCCCAAGAAAAATTGGATCAGAGTTGGAGTCAACGTGCTTTTAGCGACTACAACTCCTTTTACCCAAAAATCTGCTTAACTCCGTTTCCACAGCTCTGGTTTTTACTGTTGATTTTTATGTGACATAAGTACAAAAACATGATATTTAATTAAGAAATTTAACACAAAAAATGTAAGTAATAAAAAGATTAAAAAAAAAAAAAAGATTTCTGAGCCAACTTACAAAGAAAACTGAACATTGATACAATGAACTAAGAAAAGACTTAAAAAATGCATGCCAACACTTAACATTGCAACATGAATTCTAAACATGCCACTAAGCTGCTTTTAAAATTTTTGCAATTTTGCTGTTGAACTATATGTTGTTGTTTTAATTACGCGTAATAATAAAGCTAAGAAGATGAAAAGAATTGGGTTAGCAAGAGCGAGGGCAAGAGCAGGAAGGATTTAAAAAAGGAAAAAATTCATATTATAAAGTATCATGTAGGGTCCCAAATAAAATTAGAAATAAATAAATTTTATCCTTTTATTTAAAAAATTATATTGGGAGATTTTAAATTCTATTTCTTAGGCAAAATTATATTAGAAGCAATACCCGTTTAATTAAAAAAAAATAATTAAATTATTTATGCTATTTTAAGTCATAAGGTCATAAGTATTTGTCATAAATTCATTTATTAACTGGAAATTTAGTATGTTGCATGGACCAATGATCAAGTCTGATAATAAGTGTCTCCCATGGGCAGGTAACCATAAGTTGCTTTGAAGCAATCAAATAGTCTAATTCTAAAGGACTACAGCCCATCTGAGAATTCAAAAAATTTGGATATTTGGATTAATCTTCTCCACCATGAATTAAATATAATATTTATTGTTAAGCAAGTAATGGAATTTGTTTCTTCACTTATTTTTTTATTTGTTTTGTTTTATTTCAATGACGGTTATGCAATTAAAAAATAAAATATTTTTATTTTTAGGACAAAATGCAAATTTTTTTTTAAGCGGTAAAATTATTTTGATTATTTAAGCATCTAGCCATTACTGTCTCTAATAAAATTAAATAAAGGCATTAATTTTTATTTAATTTAGCTACAAAATTAAATATAGTCTTGTTTGTATTTTAACTATGGTATAATAACCATAATAATGCTTTTTTTTTTTTTTTTAATTTATCTAAAGGTTGCATGTAGTGCAAGATAAAAGTATCTCACATGAAGAAGATTTGATGTAATATGAAATCTTCTCCATTATGTATGTACATACATAATGTGTGTATATATATATTGTTTATCAGATTGAAAAAGTCTCCAGGATCAGTCATCTAGCATGTTCATCTTTCTTACGTTATCATCAAACACTTATGTTACACACACGCATGTATGCCTGCCACACCTATACCTATTTTAAAATGCAGTGTTTTTATTTTGATACTCTTTTGAGACATATGTTGATATTCTTTGACATCTGTGATAATCTATGATGGAAGTGTTTTGATCTGTACACAGAAATTTTAAAGTTTTTTTTAATTTTTCCTTTGTTGTTGTATATGAAAGTAGTTAATGAAGGTTCTGAAGTTTAATACATGTGTTACAGTATTTTTTCTTATGAATGATTTTTTTCCTTTTTAATTAGGTGTGTCACATATAACTGTATACTACAAAATTTTTTATGATGGTGCAAAGAGACCTATTGGGCAAATTATGCAGTGTGAATACTGTAATTATACATCTTCATACAGTAGTAATTTCAAGCGCCATATGCAGATTCACAGTGGAGAACGCCCTTTTAATTGCACTCTCTGTTCTTATACTTCATCTCTTAGATGCAATTTTAAACGACACATGTTTCTTAATACTGGGGAGCGACCCTTTAAATGTAATGCGTGTAATCGTGCTTTCATGCTGAAAGAAAATCTACGATCTCATTTATCTGTTCATTCAAACGTGAAGCCTTATGCTTGTAAAATTTGTAGTCGTTCGTTCAGATTAAAATGTCAATTAAAGTATCATTCTGTAAAGCAACATTCTTTGACTTTATATTAATATATGATGTTTGCCAAAGTGTGTTATTTTCTTGTTTTAGGAGCTGTAAAGTGATCTGTATGTGTATGTTATTATATAATTAATATATTTTAATGAAATATAGATTGACAGATATTTAACAGGGTTCGTAGCGGTCCTTATAAGTGCTTATAAGTCCTTATATTTGAAAATAAAGTATAAAGGCCCTTATAGGTGCTTACTTTTTCTTTAAAGCCCTTATTTTTTTGTTTTTAGTGCTTATTTTTTGCTTTTAGTGCTTCTTTTTTTTAATGAACGCTTTATTTTTCCCCGTACCAAAGCCGAAACTAAATAAACAACTTTTCTTCCTAATATGGAATGTCATACTCCCATAAATAGCTTTACCCCCTTTCTCTGCATTAACATAACTTTGGTGTGCACGAAGAGTACAGACAGGTGCCCGTTGTTCTATTGGTCAAAGAATTGCAAAAGCAGTAGAAAATTCCGGTACATTCGGCATTCTTTTCCTCCCACCCAAATACTACACACATTTGAAATTCTATCAAGATCTTAAAAATTTGAACTCTCGTTCTGCATGGTCAGTTCACATTCGTGTTTATTATGATCGTTATGCTTATATTATGAGCATATGTATGAATGTTTATAATAACATAGTTGCAGTAACTGCTGAAGTATAGTAAACTTCCAAAAATGGTTGTGTTTTAACACAGATTAGCTTTCTAAGGAATAATATTCGGAATGGCTTAAATAAAGGGAAAGTAATCGAATAGTCAAAATAATTTCATTTCTTGGGCCAATACATTATACAGTACGAAGGTTGGAAGGTCTCCCCTTTCTCCGCAAAATCTTGAATATTGAAACTGTTACAGTTCATTGCAAAACAAGCAACGGACCCCCCCCCCTTTTTTTTTTTTTTTTTTTTTTTTTTTTTTTTTTTTTGTCACTTTCCAATCTGGATAAAGTAGGACTAAAAGTACTGCGGTCTACCAACCCAAGTGAAGAATGATTCTAATACGGAAATTTAACGCCGTCTGTTTAAAATTAGAATGAAAAACACCCCAGTTATTTAGTTCTTTATTCTCCCAATATCGGCAGTTGTTGATTCCGATTGCATAATATCACGTAGGGAAGAATTACGGCACACGTATTGCGCACTAACGTTTGCGATATTTTGCAGAGATAATTAATTTTGATGTTCAGTCCGAGATTTGTTTATGAACACTTAAAAGAGTTTTACTATGCTTGCTAAGCAGAATATTTTTTAGTTTCGTTGGTTTATTTTTATATGCTGCACATATCGAAATGTCAAAAGATTTATTTAGCGGAAAAATCTAAAGAGCGGCTACAGTCTACCCCCCGTCCGCTCCTTTAAGTTGCGCTCGACTGTCCGAATATTTGCCAATTTCCAAGTATGCGGGTTAGTTAAGCTTTTACTGTTAAAGGATGACAGCATGAAGCAAATTTCTGTCTTCTAATTTCAGAAATGTTCCTCTTTTTTACTTAAATTACTTTGCTTGCAATATCTGTTAAGGAAAAACTGATATACAATGAAAATTTAGAAAATGTTCAGAATTTAGATTTAAATATCAATATGAGTGGGAAAATAAATTGTATTTATTATTAGGTTCCAAGCGAATACAAGAAATATGCCTTATTATTATTTATTTTCTCTATCTTGAAATGAAATTCCATCATTAAATCTTGTAATATAGTTTAGTTCTTCATAGTTTTTTTTTTCTCTCATTGTAAACTAGTTCTGTAAATTGAACTATTATTTAAAATTAAAAACAAAAAAGTAATTATTTTTCATGGTTGAGGTCATGCTTATTCTTTCTTAATAAGTACTGCATTTCTCATATTTTAAATTACAAGTCTAATTTTTAAGGTTATGCAGTTGTGTATGATGTAATTAGACAGGTGCTTATTTTTTTTCTTAAAATGTGCTTGAAAAGTGCTTATAGGTGCTTATTTTTAAACTAAAATTTGGCTATGAACCCTGTTTAAATATAAGGCATTGTGTAAACAGGGTGATTAAACTTGTTTTTGGACCATCTCCACCAAAAATTATTATTAAATTTTAACATGCTTTTGTAGCATTTCTTCCATGTTGGAATTCATACAAAATACGGTGTTGTAAATGAATTTTATTGGTAGCCATATTTGTATGATCGTGTCTCGCCTAATACTGACATGAGACACTTATGTAACTTTTTAATTTTACATGTTTGAGTCCTATGCTGTAGCAAAATTGTAATTTTTTTTTAAATACAATCTTGATTGGAAATGTCAGGAATGATTCATTTAAAACTTGCATATTCAAGAAATTACTTGCTAAATGTTTTTTCAGAAGTTTTTTAAATTTAATTAATGATTGCCTACAATCTGTATTCAATTTTCTTTTATCATCTGCAAATAAATTTTAATGAATAAAGAATTTTTGCTTTAGTGTTTTACCAAAACAGCGAATGTAATTGAGGAAAGAATGTAAATTAAATTTTGTTTTTGTAATGAATTTCTTTTATAATATTGTCTGAAATGTTGCAGAAGTCTTGAGGACAATACTTGTAATCGTATCAAATAACGACAGTACTTGAATGGTATGAGATGTTTAACCCCTTAACTGGTTAATTTTTTTCCAGAAATGTTCCAAAAAAAAGCATATGTTTTTATTGCATATAATTAAAGGCCTAACTTAGTATAAAAGGAAAATGAAAGAATTTTTTAAAAAATTCTGATAAATAATGAATTTAAGCATTTTTTTATTTATAACTTTGTAACACAAATGCCCCTACATGTTGGCTTTTTGGCTTTTGTATCACGGAGTTTATGCAGTGAAGTCTATTATACAGATCTCACGAACTGAAAATCTAAAAGAAAACTTACCATACGTTAAAAATTCATACTTCCAATACCATTGTTGAGTAGTCCTTTTTTGTGTGGTACAATTTAAAACAAGACAAAGTACTACATCACAATCAGGACAGAAATACCGTGTTTCCTTTCGGATTCTCTTTCCACTTTCATTCCTCCTGGAACAGCATACAACGCATTGTCTGGCAGGTCTAAGTTTTTTTTCTCTGTTGGAGCAATAAGCAATAACTTCTATGAAAGTTCTGTCTCTCGGTCAGTCTCAAAGGATTAGGCTCAGAACCAGGTCGTCCATATTTGCAAGTCATCCCAGAATGGTATTTCTTGATAATTCTGTCAACAAGATCAAGTCTGAAACTGTAACTGACTTTGTTTCTTTCCACCTTTTTTACAATATACGACATATGAGTTCCATACGGCAATATCAAAAATGTGGAAAAAAATTTTTTCTATAATATTTTTTTCCTCTCTTTTCTAATGACTTCAAAATTTTTCAAATTTTGGTCCATGCGGTCTATTCCTTCTCCCATTGTGTTATTGTAATTCATAACAATTTTTGGTTTCTGTTTTGTTTCATAGCGGGACCTGTTTTTCTACCTTTGCAGTATTATGAATAGTAGACAGTAATGAAACATTCTTTTTGTCCATCCACTTCATAACAGTAACTTTTCCTCTCTGAAATGCAATGATTTCTCCTTTTTTTAGTTTTTTCTTTTGCATTTCCTTTGAGACTTCTTTTCTCTTTAGATTCAGGGTGCCATATGTATTCCGTTCGACACGAAATTAATTTATCAGCTAATTCTGGCGACGAATAATAAGTTATCCGTCGTAAGACAATATCCTTATGCATGTAACGGATGCATCATTGTCATAACAACTTGTGACGAAAATACATAGATTTGAAAATTCTGGTTTCAGAAGCGTGTTTTTTGCCTGTGTATATTATCATACAGAGCATACATAACTAAGAAATCGATTCGCACAGCATGAAGCATTTTATTCCGAATCTTGATCTTTTTAGGGGAATATACTGCTTCCACCCTAATCTTCCTTTGAAAAGCATAAGGCTTTCATCTATAGTTACATCACGTTCTGGTGTCACCGTCGAGCGAAACTTCTCATTCAGATGTTTCAAAACTGGCCACAATTTCACTAATTTTGGGCATTCGTGACTTTGTGCATCAAATGCTGAATTATCCGAAAAATGTAAGTATCGTTGCAAAAGGTGAAATCAACGATGAGTCATTATTTGGGGGGAAAAAGCGTGAGGTGTGTACGTGGAATGTCTCTTACTCCAGTACTGATCAACTGCGGGCTTCCTTATAATTCCTTGCAGTATAAACAGAGCAAAAAATATATGCATCTCTTCCTGAGTTGTTTGTTCCTAAAATTTACTTCTTGAGAATTTTTTTGCAGTGCTTGACTGGATGCACTGTGTCGCATATCTGTTTGTTTCTTCCACAATTTTATTCATCAAAGAAGAATCAATAAATGCTTCATAAAATTGTAGTTCATCAGAAGTATCATCAATTTGTATATTTAACTGCTGGAACACCAGTAAATTGAACCTGGGACACAGAAGAGGCAGGTTTTCTACATCAATTTCAATAAAATTTCTAGCAGAAGTCAAGTCTTCATCGGAGCTGATCTCACTACACGTGTCATTTGAAGAATTATCCAGAACATTACAAGACAGTTCTGAATTGTATCCGAATCATCAGAAGCATCTAACAATAGAGTATCATCCATAACTAAAGAGCTTTGAATTCACAACCAAAAAACCGTGTAGCAAAACTTTCAAGAACCAAGAGTGCAAAATAATTTCGACTAAAACTGGTTAGAATGATTTTAAATAGTATGGACAAGCTACGCCATCTATTGAAATCTTCTAATACTAAAGCCTTTCTTTCAATATATTAAAAATACGGGCAAATCAAAATAAGAAAGGGGAAATATCGATGCACGTACACCGTACAGGCAAACCAGGTGTGCCCAATGATCAGTAGCCCGTACACTGTACGGGCAAACCAGTTAACCCCTTAATTGCCGCGGGCGTATATATACGCCTTGCTCAGCCGATGCGTTAACTGCCCCAGATGCGCAGCCGATGCGTTAACTTTGCGAATAATTTTAGGTGTAGCAGCGCAAAGCAAATGATAGCAGTTTGGAAGGACGTATATATACGCCTGGGGCAGTTAACGCATCGGCTGAGCAAGGCGTATATATATGCCCGCGGCAGTTAAAGGGTTAAGGGGTTAATGAAGAGAGAGAATGTATCAAAGAGGAACAACAGCGTGGGAGACCATTCACTGCGATTGCATGTCGATCAAGTCATGCATTCAGTGCTTGGTTATCATTGAAGAACAATTAGAAATGAAATTATATAAGTTTCCTTTGGATTCTGTTGAACAGTTTTGAAAAAACATTTGGACTTGCAGTTAGTTGCTTCTTGGTTAAAAAAAAAATTTGAAATCTTTCCAAAAGAGATGTTTTGAGAGGGAAAAATCCTCAAAGTGCATTATTACCAGTGATGGGGTATGGATATATGCTTTTAATATAGAAATAGCCCAACAATTAAGTGACTGGCATTCAAAAGATAAAGCAAAACTGAAAAGACCACATCACAGTCGGTCAAAAATCAAGGTAATTGCCTGTTTTCTATGATTAGGACAATGTTAAGCATTATGAATTTCTACCAGCTGGCCTTACTGTTAACAAAGAATATTATTTGAGTGTTTTATAGTATTTGCATGAAGAAATTTGCAGAATATGATCTAAACTGCAGTGAGATAATTCATCAATTTTTATGCCACAGTAATACACAAGCATTGTGTGCACTTAGTCGCAATGCTTTTGTTTGTGTAGAATTTAATGTATATGGCTTTTCATGCTGCACATTACTTGATATGGCACCATAAGACATTTTCTTTTTTCCGTAGTCAAAATTGCCATGTTGTGGCTGCCATTTTGAGAATGTTAATACAGTGAAAGAAAATTCTGTGTGAATACTGAAGAAGTTGTTTGAAAATTACTTTAAAATGCATTTCAAGGATTGGGGAAAGGATTGACATTAAGTGAATTGTAGTCAGAAGGGACTTTGAAGGGAAACATAAATATTAACTGATAAATTGGAATTTTGCATTTTATGGAAACATTTCAGATATTTTTTTACCACTTTTGTATCATATAAACAAGCATTTTATATAAAGTTCTAAGTACTGATATATTGTCATTAAACAAAATGGTAAGACGAGCTGAAATTTGTGCTAATAGTTAATATTTTCTCACTATTAATAAGTTATAAATATGTATTAATTTACATTCATTAAACAGTATGCTGAAAATCAGAAGTGTATTGGAAGGTAATGAGGCTATTTTTATTACCATTCTTGTATTGTTAGTTATCATTTACAGTAACGTTGTTTCAGTTGCATAATTTTGGGGGGGGAGGAATTCATTTTAAATGTAATCTTGCCAATCTTTTCTCTCATCGCATTTAATGACTGTTATGAGTGCGGAAGCTTTACTTATTTTTTTATTTCCTCAGAAATGACGATTAGAGATATTAAAATAGCAGTACTTTTCACGTATATATTTTGCATTTTCAGAAGAGTCTAATAACTAAGTAGAGGACAGAGCAAATAATTATTTGGTTTAAAATGTTTTTCTGAATATCTGAATAAAAGAAATATATAGGAAAATAAAAGGCATATGTTCTATTTGTTTAAAGAATGATTGTTTTGGTTCGTTCCATGTTGTTACAGTTATATACCTGCTATTTACTATTAAATCTTTTGTAACAACATTTCTTTAATTATAGTCTTTAGTGTTTTCAAAATTTTTAGTGTTTTGCAGTTTAAAATCAAGTTATGGAGGCTATGTAACTGGAAAAGTTAATTTAAAATAAGCCGAGTGTGATTTAAAAATATTTTACATGTGCTCTTTATACTGCATCATATTTGATACAAAATTTTTATTTAAACTGTGGTAAGTTATTTAATTAAACATATTAGAAATATTTAAAGTAAATGTAATATGTATTTTCATTAGCATTCATTTTCAGTTTTTCTTCCTACTTGTACACATTGTATTAATTAATTTTGAAACATGCCAAAAATACTAATTGTTTCTGAAAACAACTATTTTTGCTTATAGAGGTAGTATAAGTCACTGCTAAATTGGTAAAAGCTATTAAGCCATTTTATGGATTTTCCCCTTCAGGCTTTTAGTATTTCAAAATGATTTTTCATCTCTGGTGGTTACTTATCTTTTTTCAAAAGGCATATGACATTTGAAATTATGATCACAATATGGGTAGTAACAACTTCATGTTATTAGAACTTGCTTGTTAGAATTCAGAAGTATTCAAGAGCTAGAACTATATTTTCTAACATTCAAAATTAGAAACTTTTATCATTTTAAAAATTGTAAAATAAATTGTGAACAAAAAGGGGGATTTTTCAAGTAAATATTTAATGTAGCTATTTATATCACAAGTAAATGGCTAGCATGTTCTTATTTTGTATTCAAGAAAGCCTGTTCCTACTATGTGCAAATTTTAAACTTTGCTGCAATGCCATAAAGGTTTTTCCTTCACAGTTAGAAAACTAAGCATTTTTTTATTCATTTTCACTTTCTTTCCTGATTATAGTTATTAAGTAATATGGGTAAATTGAAATTAAAAGACCTTTGATTGACCTTTACAATATGTAAAAAACTTTCTACTGAAAAATAAATAAATTGAGAAATAAGAGTAGCAATTTTTCTTTATTCTTAAGTACTCTATGTTCTGGAAAGAATAAAAGCAAATGTGACAGAGAAATAGACACTGTAGAGAAATTGCTATTTGAGGTGGGAAAATTACTATGAGGTAGTTACTGTAAAGTTACTGTATTTTATAGCAATTATTCTTAAATATTCTGACAGTTTTAACTTATTCTTTTTGACTGTTGTCACAAAACTTGCTCACACAACAACGTTCATTCAAATTTAATAACAAGATTGGGCTATATATATACTATTTAGCATACATATGTGCTGTATTTTATACATGCTATATATACATTTAGCATAAATATGTGTTATATGTATATACCATTCAGCATAAATGTGTGCTACATTTTATATCAGATTTTTAACAAAAGTTTCCTGCCACTGCAAATATTGTCTGCGCAAACAGTTCACGTTGCCATGTTTAATCATATTTTGTCAAAAGATTTTTGGCATTTGAAAGAAAGAGACTACCTTCAAACACTGTGTTATGAAATTTGTAAAAAAATATATTGCTATCATTAAGTACCAGCTGTCTGAAATGGAACTATCATGCTACCAGATTAGAACCATCATTTACTTCTAGTTTTGGTGAGAAAAGTCAGCTCAGAATGTCTCCAAATTATTTGTAAGCTTTAGGCACTAATGTTGTATCATATGACACTGTGAAGGTTTGGTACTGAAAGTTCAAAAACAAGGACTTGCATGTGAGAACTTGAAGAAGATCAGTATGAAACCATTTGAGAGCTTGCTAAGGAGTTAGACGTTGGTGCCACGTCCATGCTGCGCATTGCATAAACTTGACGTACAAGTCAAATCGCTGGGTGCTACATGAGCTTACTCAAGCAGATAAGAACAGATGTGTTCGGGCCTGCACAAATCTGCTCAAATATCAACACAAGGGCAAAATTCTAGACCGGATCATCACTTTTGATAAAAGTGGATTTACATCTACAACATAGGCCGAAAAGGGGATTGGTCTGCTCCCAGTGAGCCCATCACAAAGTGCAATTTGACTAACAAAAAGATCATGCTTTGTGCAGGGTGTTTGGGATAAATTTGACATATTTATAATTGATTATTTTTTTCTGTAGGTTGGAGGTGTTGACACACACTACTCGTCATTTAAAAGTTTGGACCCTTCTTCATTCGTATACAAGATGTCAGAAAGGATGGATGAATGGAACCCACCTGAATCATGGAAGAGAATAACTTCCATCTTGATAATTCGTGCCGGCCATCAAAATAAGGATATTATGACTGCTGCCCAATGCTTCCTGAACACAGTAAAAACAATCAGGCATGAACTAGAAACTTGCAATGGTGACTACGAGGATGTAGCAAGAAGAAAGATCCCTAGCAGACGATCTGTTTGCGTTCGTACAGCAGAATTCCTCGCAAATTTGCAGGAACAGGTGTTGAAGAACCCTGGCATTGGATTTCAGGCTTTATTACGTGAAATGAATGTTGCAGCCTCTACTATGAAGCTTGCACTCAATGAAGACCTTCGCTACTACTCATTTTTTTCGCTACTACGGATTTTCTTTTTCCTTACGAAACTGTCAAATTTATCCCAAACACCCTGTATATGGTAAGATTGCCATAGTAGTATTCCCAAAGAGTATCTGGAAAAAGGTAAAACCCTCGACACCATGTTGTACAGTGAGATGCTAGTCCATGTTGATGCTGCTATCAACGGAAAACATTGAATTCAGTTCCAGCGCAAAAAGGTAATGTTCCATCAAGATAATGCAAGACCACATGTGTCTGTATTCACCAGCTGGATTCTGTAGGGACTCAAATGGGATTTTTTGCCACATCCATTATATAGCCCCAACATCGCTCCTTCCGACTTCTACCTTTTTTCCCACCTGCAGCTACATCTTGCTGATGCTATCTTCTACTCTCCGCAGGACATCCCAAATGAGGTTGATCTGTTTTTGGACTCGCAGCCATCAAGTTTCTGGACTGAAGGCTTTGAAGAACTAGCAAAACATTGTCAGAAAATCATAAGATTTGGGTTTTGATTACTACTTGCTCTAAAGATACTGCTTTCATGTTTTTTTTTTTTTTTTTTTTTTTTTTTTTCTAACTTTATTAAGAACGTTTTTTGGCAAAAAGATTTTGTTACAACTAGGTATGTGATTTTTTAACACGTATTTCTTTGAATGGCTCAAGGGAAAATCTTGCTGTTCACCAAGTATTGATATAATAGCTAATATTTTTATTAAACTCACAATTTGGGAATGTTCATATTCTTAATTTTTTTGTCAAATGTTATATCTAGTGTTTTCTTGATTAAAATACTCATTTTACTATTCATGGTGACAGTTTTTTTTTTTTTTTTTTTTTTTCCAGTATTTGTTGTGAGAGGGAAAAAAAATGTTTTACTAAAAAAGAATTTTTTTTCCTTTTAGGATATGCATGCTGTGATGATAGTTTTTACTGCTTTGTTGTTGGTTTTATTATTATTATTACTTTTAAGGGTTTTTTTTTAATGACTTCTTTTCAAACGAACAAGATCTAATTTTCTCAGTTTTTTAATTTACTTTTAATAGACATGTATTAAGCTAAACTTTTAAAATATAAAAAAAAATTACTAAAATGTATTTTATAAATAAATGAGAAAGAGCACACTAAGTTAGTAAAATTCATTGTGAAAAAAGCAAAAATGAATTTTGTTTCCTGGTTCTAAGCATAAGTAATAGTGACTTTTGTTTACTGTGAATAATTCATAATATTAAGAAATATAATAGCTATACAATATCACAAAACGATAGGCCAATGGAAAGAATGTAATTAAAGGTTACAAATGACAGCTTTGGAATAAGGATTTTTTTGTCAGTTTTTTGAATTGATATATAAATGCATATGTACACTTTAAAACGTTTTATGCATGTATAATATTTTTAAAAGATTACTTTTTTTTTTTTTTTTTTAAATAGGTTTAAGATGTAAAAGTCAAGGAAATTTTTGCCAAAATGATCCTTTTTCTGCATCAGATGAAGCAGTTTTTCTGAATTTATGTCCGTATTGTCCTTATACAAGTCGCTATAAGGGAAATTTGCTAATGCATATACGAATTCATACTGGGGAACGGCCATTTTCATGCAAAGTTTGTGGAAAGACATTTCGTAATCAGTCTCATGTAAAGAGACATATGCTTACCCATGCTTGTGTTAAGTCATAGATGTAAATAATGAATATCTGTTTATGGCAATTTAATGCATGTAATTATACAATTTGCAGGTGATAAATATACAGACTTGATAATTTTATTCCTGAATATAATATGCAGAGAATAATAATTTTGTAGCAAGTTGACTGTGTAATATAATTTGAATAATGTTATGTTATAATTCACTGCTTTTCTGGCTGTGTAGCTCTAGTTTTTATGGGGATTATTATGATGTGTTTATTCTGTATTGTACTGTTATATGTTATTAAATACCATAATAATATATTATTTCTGTAGTAAAATATCTTTTTTCTTGTTCTCTATGCAAACATAACCTGATGAAAGTATGACCTTTAGAAAGATATTTTTATTGGTTGCTCATATTAATTATGTTATATAAAGTAGTACTTCATAATAAATAAAACCCGAAATGTAACAATAAGCATATGCGTGCATGCATTGTTATAATGATGCATATTTCTTTTATGGATCTTGAACATGAGTGATTAATTTTAAAGCATTCAAAACACATCAGCAATTTCATTTTAAGAGAAAACATTTATTTCCTAGTGTTTTAAGCATAAAGAAAGGGAATTCCCATAGCAGCTTGATTCAAGTATTGCAAATGACTAAAAGTTCTATATGCAGAACTAAATGGTGAAATATTTAATAAAGGGTTTTTTTTATTTCAATGCTTGGATTAACTTATTTTTTCCCTTCGGTAATTCACATATGTTAGGTATGTTAATTTATCTTTTTATTTTACGGATTGGTGTATTATTCTTGAAAATGCAGAAAATTAAATAAAGGTCAGTCCTCCCCTACTTTGATAATTTAATAATTGCATTTTCTTAACAGCTAATTCTTTTACTATTATGTGTTTCTGGGTGAGTAGATTCATATATGTATATAACCTTTCTTGCTAGATTCCCGCCCTTGCTGTAATCTTTATATCAGTGAATATGTTTTGAAATGTATTTAATATAATTTCAGGATGAAATAAATATATTTAATTAAGGCAAAGCGTTCAACGTTTTTATTTTAAATTTATTTCATTTATATAATACACACGCACACACACATCTTTTTTTTAGGCATCATATTTTTTTTAGTAGAAAATGTTATTTTAAGAAGATTACATATCATCTCTTTAGTATTTTTCATTTATTTTTTAATTATTTCAAGGATGTGAATTGTAAACTCTGTAACCTTTTTCATTATCTAATGGAATGTATTTTTGTTGTTTGTTGTATGAGATAAAAATTTTAGGTTCCAGAGTTATTTGCATATTTCTATAGGATACTTTCAATTTATGTTCAGTTATATTAATTGTATGAAAATGAAATATGTTGCTAGTTTGAAAGTGTTTGAAGCTATAAAACGTAAATAATTTCAGAACTTATAAAAAATTAAAAAAAAAAGAATAGATTTGCAGCCTTACACTGTATTTCACATATGCAAAATAAAAAGGCAGCATACTTTTTAAGAATTGTATTATTTATAAATTACTCTTAATGATAAAAAATTTCATAAAAATTAGTTTTTTGTAGTGTAAGTAAGTAGATGTGTACATATTTTATATCCTCCTTAGTAAGGTATAGGGTATGTAATACAGATATAAAATTTTAAAGCTTATTTGCGATTTGAGTAACCCAAGCAGGTTTTTTTTTTTTTAAATCTGTCTTTATAATCTACTTGCTACAACCTTTTTTCTGAATAAATTTTCATGTCAGAACATTTTATCACATCAGAGCCTGAAGTGTTATTCAGAATTCCTTAAATATTATTACAACATTTTCATTAATTGCTTAGTATTTTTAAAGGGAAAATAGTTAATACTAATAGGTGACAAGCATTTATGCATTAAATAGCGATTGTTTAGTGCAGGAAAACTGTTACTAATGAAGCAAAATGTTGATATACATATTTTATGCAAAACAGCTGTTTGATTCAGTGATCAAACTCAATAAGTTGAGAGGGATTGTGCTACACTATTATGAAACATCTATCGCAAAGAGTTAATAACATCTGACTTTTTTGTGTTTTAGAAAATTTCATTTTTATATTAATAATATTTGAGTTAAATATTGAAGATAAGTTATTTTTTATAGTTGTTTTTTTTTCACTCATGGGTCCTGTATTTTTCTTAGGTTCATTGAATTTTTTTGATGATGGATGTCTGAAATTTAAAACATCTACTGTACAAACAATACGTTGTGAATATTGTAGTTATTCATCTCACTCCAAGAGCAAGTGGAAGCTCCACCTGTTGACATGCCATAAAATTCTGACTTAGTGGAAGATATCCTTTTAATTGTAATCATAGTTTATCTACACAGCTCTGAGAAGAACGTAGAAATTGCACATGCTTCTATGCATTGAAGTTTACTCGTTAATACTTGTTAATGCAGGTTGTGAAAGAAAACTGATATATTTATTTATTTAAATTTCCATGCTGTTAGTTCAAATATGAAACTATATAGTTCTTAAATTTATTACCAATTGCGTAGGCTAAAGCTTTGGCTTGAAGTATGCTTAAAAATTTAGTATTTTTTGTCCGGTTTGTAGATTTACCTAATAAATTTGTATTTTTTATGATTCCAAATGGTATTTCTCTAAAATATTTTGCTATGAAATGTATTTTATTTGCAAATATAGTTTAATGTGGCTTTATAAATTTGTGTTTTCTCTATTCTGGTTCATATGAATTGTAGGAAATAGAAAAAGATGCTTGTTTGTATCTTGTCGGGCACTGTTGTTATAGCTGTTGTACTTTTATTATTTCATATTTGTTAGTGTTTATAAAAACGTAACTTATGGTAAAATAGTTAATTTTGGTAGGAAATGTAGAAGCTGGAAGAGCTAATTTCTTAATTTAAAAAAAAATGCTTCAATTTTGAAACAATTTCTTTGCAACTACTTATCTTGACAAATAAAAGCTGTGTTAAATATTCTGTGAATTCATTCTAATCGGCAGTTATATTAAAGTTCATGCACATTTTGTTTTCAGCTTTGCTTGTAATTCAATTTTAAAGGCAACATTAAAGGAAAGATATGTACAGATAAATTTGGGAAAACTTCAGATGGGCAATTTGAAATGAAGTCTGTGTGTGTTTTGGGTATTAATCTCACAGACAAATATTAGAAGTTAAACTTTTAAGCAAATTCACAAATTTAAAATGCTGATTCGCTTTAAAAAGGGGGGGTGGATGATATGAGAACATACAAAGTGCATTTTTTTCTCATTAGCATTTTATTTAAATGTATTTCCTTCTGTTGTATTTCATTCCTACATATCTGAAATAATAATATTTCTTAATAAAAATTGTTCAATTTTTTTTTGTTAATTTTGCATTGATATTTTTGTTTATATGATATATTTTCTGTGAGGAATTATACATTGATTTTGTGTATGATAATCTGAAGGAAAAATGCAGGGTATTTTTTGTTTACTCTATCCTACTTTAATATATATATGTATACAATTTACATGCAGTGAAATTTAAGTTACTTCATTGAATGCTGTTATCATTACTGGGGGTGGAATAAGCAAGAAACTGTGGCATAAAACCTAACTTTAAATAAATTTCTAATTTAAATTTAACTTGCTGGAAGAAATTTTTTTTCCAGTAATGATATTTAAATTCTATTATTATTGTATGTTTGATAATTTGTGTGAGATCTAGAAATCACTATGATATTCCAAACTATATGAAGTCCTGCATATGCTTAATTATTTAGTAGTTACTCAATGGGTGTAGGCTGTGACTGTTGTTTTGCAAAGATTTTGAATTGAATTTTATGTGATATTGTTTTTGTTTATTATACCATATTTATTTGCATGTCCCTCTTTTTTTTTTTTTTTTTAATTAATTTTATCTCTTGGAAATCAAAAAAGGAAAATTATGTTTTGTACATTATTTCTGGGAAAAATATGCAAATGAAGAACTAAGCACATTATTATATTCATTTGCACAAAGTATTTACCTCTTGCTGCATACATTAATGCTGTTATTATAAATGAGAGATTTATAACTCCACATGATTAAAAACTTCTTTTGCATGATAGGGAGAAATATGCAAATAAATACAGTTTATCTTATAAATTAAAAGTAATACGGATTACTACTACTGCATCATTTAAAGTAACTTCAGAAAGCATGTATATATGACATGCCTTCTGAAGTTACTAAGGCATGTATAATGACAACACAAAGGGATTATTCCTTTGACATGCAGGTAAAAATAGATCCATGATACATTAGTCTTTTAAAAATTATGTTTTATTCTTATTACAGTACTCAAAGTAGTGAAGCAAAGTTTTTTTTATACAATTTTAGTTATTTTGCTGTATTTTTAAGAGAAAAAACTATTTAACCAGTAACAAGTTGTTGTGTTGCTTAGCCTCGAAAGATTTGACATATGTCAGATCAGCTCCATAAGGTTATTGACCTCCAATAAATCAGTAATAGTGAGGGGATTGAATGTTAAGTCCTCCTTAGAAAGTCCGATGCAACCAAGTATGTGATGCGGTGAAGCTGGATGGTCTCAGCATTTTTTACAAGTGGGGTGGATTTTTTTGCTACTATTAAAGGAAAGACATTTAAGGTGGGCGCTTGTTAGTCTAGCCAGAGCAGTCTGGGAACCATGGTCATATTTGATTCCCAATAGGGAGCCAGAGGATGTTCCTGTATACCATTGGTGCACAGGTGGAATATGCCATATTATATTGAGTTTAGATCATTCATTTGAGTAAAGTTCTTGGTAAGTAAGTGAATGTTTCCAGAATGCCAGTGAATGTTTCATTTTCACTACCTGCTTTTGCCAGTTTATCAGCGACCTCATTACCACTAATATTATCAATTTATTTATTTAAATTTCAAACATGTCATGGGATCCACTGGAGGTGGACGTTGTGGGTCTGAGAAATCTTCATCAGTTTGAGCAGAATAGATATGCTGCCATGATATTCATAATGTATGTGCCAAATGAATCATAAAAACATTTTCATGGACCACTTCTACATTTGTTTTGTAAAATTGGAAGGAATTTAAAATTTTAAAAGGTTATTAAATTAATGACATTATGCTCATTTATGTATACTTAATTATTTGCATTAATACATTCTCACACTTAAAATTAGTGTTTTAGTAGCAATATCTAATCTTTATTATTCATGTAAATGACTATGTAGAATCTAAAAAATAGCATTACAGTCAAAAGTCTTTAATCCGGACTCGTCGGGACTTCGGCGATTCTGGATTATTGGTTTTTCCAGATTATAGATCATCAGTTTAAATCTGGTAAGATGGCATGCAGAAATTATAAAATTAAAAATATGAAATAAAGAGCAATTATGATCTAAAGGGTATCAAAATTTACAAAAAAAGGTTTACTTTATTAAAATTTATTTCCATGTGTACATGCGTAAAGCATACATTACGCACAGTCGAAATTATTGCAACCAGAAACTATTTGATGTGTATTATAATGACGATTTGATAAACATATCAATGGGGAGACCGGAAGGGAAATTACTACATTTAGTAAGGAATTATAAGCCAAATAAAATAAAAACATCTGCTCTGAAGATAAGTATAGTGCTGACAGATCAGCTTCCAGTTCATTGTGCGCCGTGCCCCCCCTTCCCCCGCAGAGCAGATTAAGGAACAACGCAATCTGCAACATTAACTGAAATAGATAATTAGATAATTTTAGCTTAGCTTATATCGTCCATTATACATTAAGCGTGCATGCGTAAAGGTATTATGCGCATGCGCTAACGCATTATGCGTTGATGCATGCGCAGAAAGTTTGTAGCTTTGAGGTCCGGATTATAGATCATTCTGGATTATGGAATCCGCTAGTGAGTTGTGATAATTGCAAAGGAATAATAGCCTGTCTCTCTCTCTAATTTTTTTTTTCCCCAATTTGTGTAAAAGCTCATTTGGAGGTTTTGATCAATAAAATGTTAGTTAAAGATGAATGAACAGGTTCAATAAGCAACAATAAACCGAAGATTTTAATGATATTTCTAGATGGTATGTGTTAACGGAGAATGTTAAC